CTGGGCAATTTATTCCAGAGTCTTGCCGCCCTCGTACGGAAGAATTTCTTCCTCAGGTCCAATCTAAATCTATTCTCCTTCAACTTAAACCCATTTCCCCTTGTCCTATCAGCGGACACTCTTGTAAAAAGTCCCTCCCCAACCTTCCTGTAGGTTCCCTTCAAGTATTGGAAGGCACCTATTAGGTCCTTCCGAAGTCTTCTCTTTTCAAGACAGAACAATCCCAGCTCCCGCAGCCTGTCCTCGTAGCAGAGGTGCTCCAGCCCCTGGATCACCCTTGTGGCCCTCCTCTGAACACGCTCCAACAGATCCACGTCCCTCTTATGGTGGGGGCACCAGAACTGGATGCAGTATTCGAGGTGGGGTCTCACAAGAGCAGAGTAAAGGGGGAGAATCACGTCTCTTGACCTGCTGACCACACTTCTCTTGATACATCCCAGGATGTGGTTGGCCTTTTGAGCTGCATGAGTGCACTCAAGAGGTCAACAGATGCAAGACTTCTGCTTAAAATACAAATGGGAGTGAAAAAAATGACATTTGTCTTTTGAAAGCCTTTTGACTAGCCTTTGGTCCAGCCGAGTACCTGACTCAGCCACACACCCTGATTGGGTCTAACCAAACTATCTGGGTGCACGTTTCCTGCTTTCTTGAGGTCGCTTGATACTGTTGACTCCATGTTGATGTCCCATGTGCCCTTTCTTGTTTCCACTCTGAGCACTGGCTACATTTTGAACGCCGCTTGGGTATGTGAGCAATCACATGTGCCTCTTTGAATTTTGCCCACAATATTCCACAGCCAATGAGAAGGTCTAAGCACAACAATGCAGTTTGCAAAAGTAGTTTAAAATAGTTCACTATCTTTCCATTTGGTCAGGGTAACCTAGACTGAAGATGAAACATTAATTTAGCAATCTGTTTGCTTATGAAGAGGTGTCATATTGGTGCTAAGTGAAAAACATAGGTCTGTTTGGAGATGGGTGATGTGTACTGCAGATATTTTGCAAAGCTGCATTCTTGTAGCTTACAGGAAAGGTACAGAAAAACACTTTGATTGCTTCCTACTGCTCAGCAGATGCTGAGAGCTTTATTACGTTTGAACTGAGCTCCTGTTTCAGCAAGAAATGCAAATTTGCCTGGAAATACATTTAGACTGTTTTTTCAGCAAGAAAACAATTGGGAAGGCCTGAAAAAAATCTCAAGACAGTTTAGTTAGATTTTTATATTCTTGATGAATGTCTGAAAGCCTTAGAATTTTGTTTAGAAGCTGTAGATAACTGCAACAAGCAAAGCATAGTTGTGAATATGTGCCTGTCAGCAACCAGTGTGATCAGTGGATCAGTGATCCAGTGCTGATGGCTGTGGTCTCTACACAGCTGCTTTGGGGACCGAGAAGGTACATTCTCACGTTTGGTGGAGAGAGCCGAGGCACTTTTTGTCTTGGCAGTCTCACTGTGTAGCACATATCAAAATGGATAAAACTGTTGAATACTCCTGTTTATAATTTAATATTGTGCTAGTTGTCTAGCAAAAGAAAAGGTAAATCTCATTGCTGCTTCTCTGTAATAAGAAACATCTAACCTAGGAAACAATGCTTTTTTTTAATTTATCCAAAAGACAGTTTTATATAATTCTATTTCATGATCCAGTTGTTCTCAAGAACTTGTTGAATTGAGTGTGCTCTATTTAGAAAAGCTTTATTATCTCTAGAATAAGTTTAATCCAACAATACTCTTAACATGCTGGCAGCTTTAACTGAGTTTGTTGTTTGTACGTCGCAGTTCATCTGCATTTACTTGTAACCAACAAATTCCACTGAGTTAATAAACATAGAGCAAGGCCTGTAACTTAATGCTTCCCTGGCGTATATTTCTGACAAGCCATCTGTAAAATATAATCTGATCAGGTCATCGTAAATTTCGATATATATGATTTAGCTTTCTTTATATATATATTTTTTATGAGTTAGCTCTAGATAAGAACACTTACATTCCCAGAGGCGTGCCAGTTTAGTTCACCCTAGCAGCCCTGTGTGCTCTGATCCAGGCTAATAATTATTGATGAAGCAGTTTTACTTCCCCCCAGGCCTCAGTGATCTCTGCACTTCAGCTGGTGCTCGTTGCCTGCCAGGAGCTGCAGGTACTGTTGGGAAGGACTGAAGTAACCACCAGATGTCAGTGGTCCTCCAGGACTAAGCTTTGGCGTGCCTCTGAGATGGGCAGGAAAACGCTAGTTTTCACAAACGAAGTGTTTGTGATCTCAGCCTGAGATGGATGTGAGCATCCTCATCAGACTCACGGTCTCTCAAGAGCTCTTGAGAGGAACTGCTTTGGTCTACTGCAGCTTGCTTCTTGGATACTTGTCACTTGTGTGATTTCTACACTGTATAAAAAAAGAGGGTAAAGTTGAAATAGTATTTCATATCAAATAAATGTCACTGAGCAACAATTCAACTTGTGATTTGCAGGAATGAACATGGATAAAACTTTCACTGCGGGAAAGCTTGGATCCCTAGTTTAATTCATGTCTGTTAGTACAGCTATTTGGTAGCCTGCTTATTTTCACTGCTCTGAAGTATTCTGTGCAAGATCAGTTTGTGTACAGGTGGCAGTAAAAGGCTTATCCATGATTAAATTCCTCAAAGTAGGGTGAGAGTTAGAAGCACATATGCTAAATATGGCTCTTTGTACAGGATAAGTTGTAAAGTGGTGCTTGTAAAGTTTCTTTTCAGCTTGGCTTATTTTCTTCGCTCTGGTACCTCTGGACATTATTTAGATTGGAAGCACAAGCTATCTTCTGGTTTTCATTTACTATTTCCTCTCCTATCACACATCAGATATATTCTATATCACTGTATGTGGGACTTGCACAATAAACTTCAATTCTAAGACTGCTTCCTAGACTGGTTTGTGTCTTCTGTGTCAGTAAAACAAAGCATATCTGAGAATCACACAGTACTGCTGTGAGGAGTCTGATGCTGTTGTTAAAGACTGTGATACTTCAGTTTAGAAGGTGTTCAGCAGATTGTCCTGCGTGTCTAGAAACAACAGTTACACTGATTGTCTCTCTGAGCTGTGTATGCATGAGGGTCAAGAGGAGCCTTTTAGTAATGTTAAAAACCCATTTAAAAAAGAAAAGAAGGAGCATCCCTTCTGAGCGTGACACTGTTTCTTGGTTTACACTGTTAAGCTGCAGAAGCTGGGACTCCTTTCTGTAAGATGCAAGACAAGCACAGTAACTGTGTCCACACTGATACCAGTCTTGCCAGAAGTTAGAGGTTTGGGTTTTTGTTTTTCTTTTGGTCTTGCACCATAACAATTTGCATTGGACCTTCTTTTAAGCACAGGAAGAGACAACACTAGTTGAGGCTGCCAGGCCTTTGCTCTCAGTATTTCTGTAGTCAGCAGAGCTGCCAGGGTCAGATGGACAGCTTGTAGGGCTTGAGTTTCAGATTATGAGACCTAGGGTCTATGGACCAACTTTGAGGTGGCCTTGATGTTAGAATTAATCAGAAGTCTACACAGAGACCTTGCTGTGAAAACCTTGTATCTAAACAGGCAAGAGGAGCAGGACTCAGTGGGAAGGTAGGTGTGGCAAGTATACGTACCTTGTCCAGATTCAAACCGCTATACATTCACTTTTGTATATCATGTTTTTAAAGGCATTTTTAAAATGTAAATCTTAATTTTATGTGAGCAGGGAGCTGCTAAGATTTAGAGAGCAGATTGGCATGCCCTAATTCGTGAGGATTAGAAATAGCAGTAGGCAGAAAGTAGGTGCAAGGTAGTGGATACACCTAACTGGAGCATGCTGTGCTCTGCAGTAAGGCATATGACTTTATTCTTTATGGAGGCCTCTTACTAAGTTTATCTCTCTGTTTAGCTGATGTTAGACAAAGAGGTTGTGCTTAGGCAATTTATAAGTTTTGCTAAATCAAAAGCATGTAGAAAAGTCCCAAACAAAACATGATTTGTTTCTTTCCCCTTCTTTATAAAGAAATTTTTACTTTTGGTGCAGTACCAAGTCAAAAAGTCAGGCACTCAAAACTCAGGAAATTCCAGAAGCTAGAGTTCTTACAGTACTGTTAACTTGTACAGTACTTCAGTAGCACTTTTATTTCTGTTTTTCTTTCTAGGTTACGATCATGGTGCTTTACTTAACGTGAAGTT